ATTTATAAAGTAAATTATATTGATCTCATATTTATAATTATATAATTTTATTATATTTTTTTTTAAATAAATAATTTATTTTTAAAATTACATTTATGCAACAAATTTTTTATTTTTATTTTTTATAAAGAGAATAGAATCATGTAAATTATATCGATTCAAGCTTCGTTTAAGAAAAAGTTATTTTAATAATTTTTTAATTTTTTATGAATATATATATAAAAAAAATAATAAAAAAATATGATTTAATAATTTATATTGATCTTTTCACTTTTTAATTAAAATATGTAACTCACACACAAGACGTGAATCTGATTTTTTATTTATGTATTTTTGTATCTCTTCTTACTTTTGAAAAATGAAAATCTCGAATCTAACCTTATTTCAAAAAATGACACAACCATGTGGGCCAAGTCAACAATATCAAGCAAGTTGCTTTGACGACTTTAATTAGCAACTTCAGCTGAAAAGTTTGACTTTGGTTTCCACGGTAACGCGTCATGAATTTTGATGTTATTAAATTACTATAAGGCCTTGTTTGGATCTCTTTTTACTACCCTTCCTACTTTTTATGTGTGTTTTATTATTTAATATATTTTTTAAAACATTTTTTTTTCTCTGGGCTTTAAGTGTTTATCTTTTTATAGTGAAAATCATAACTAATTTAAAAAGAAAAAATTGTAATAAAAAATATCCAAATAAGCCCTAAATTAAAAATGGAGCCTTTTATCTTGTAAAAGAATGGTCAAGGACTTTTGGAATTGATTTTTTTTTCGTTTTTAATAAAAAAAAATTTAATTAAAAATAATTTATATTTTTAGTAACTTCTCGATCAAATGGATCAAAAAAAAAAAACACACACACACATTTAGGTTCTTCTTGATCAGATGGATCAAAAAAAAAAAAAACACACACACACACACAAAAAAAACAAAACAAAACAAAACAAAACAAGTTTAAAATTACTAAAATTATATATATATTTTTTAAAAATTACTTTTTAAACTGAATATCAAAGCGACACCAGGTGACAAAGATCATCCCCTCTCAGGTTTTAAAATATTTTTTTAGGTGTATATTGTCTGTCATAAATAAATTCCAATAATCTAAGGAGGGAAAACTAAATGTAAAGTTAAATCTTTACTTGAGTATCAGTCACTTTCAATAAAATTAATTTAGTTAAATTATACCCACATCGTTTGAAATTTAGAAAAAAAAAAAAAAAACAATAAATTTTAGAATAAATTATCAATAAATTTTAATAGTTAGATTTAATTTTTATCAAATTCTATAAAAAACAAATTCTAGTAAAATCGCCGCTAAAAATAATTTTTTATAACGATTTTTTGTATGTCACTAAAAATTAACAATTAATGACTTTTTGTCATGATTTTATAAATTATCGCTAAAACTTATAATTAGTGACATTTTTCTGTGATGAATTTTTTAAACTGTCGCTGAAAGTTGAAAATTAGTGACTTTTTTGTGATATTTTTTTTAAGATGTCGCTAAACATATAATTAGTGACGTTTTTTGTGATAATTTTCAAACTGTTGCTGAAAATTAACAATTAGTGACTTTTTAATAGTATTTGATAAAAATATTATTAATTTTCACAATACCTATTGGACAATAGATCCACCTAGTAGGACCTACAGGTAAGTCCTCTTAAATTTTATAATTAAACTCTATTAAAATTTTAATTCACATAACTTTTAGACTCATTTTCATTACAAATTTGTTAGTTATATGGATTAAAAAATAGATGTTGCCATCTCATTCATTCTAAAAAATATATTTTAGTTTGTTTATATTTGTGTCTTCACACTATTTATATTAGTTTTGATCATTTTTATCTCACTATAAAGGAGATTGATATAATTAAATGAAAATTATAAAATTTATATTTTATTTTAAATTTTAAAAGATGTAAATGTAATCTACCAATTAAATTCGAATGTCTCAGATTTTCACCTTATTAAAAGGGTACATTTTTCAAGGGAATGGATTTTCTCTGGATTACTTGTAGACGGAGGGGTGCTACCCGCGTGTCATTTGGATGAGGTAAATTATTTATTTTGTAAAATTTATGAGTAAATTATTTACAAAGTAAACTATATTGATCCCATATTTATAATTATATAATTTTAATATATTTTTTTTAAAAAATAATTTATAAAATTATTTTTATGCAACAATTTTTTTTATTATTATTTTATAAAGAGAATGAATCATGTAAGTTTTAATGTCGATTCATGATTGACAATAAGTTATTTTGATAATTTTTAATTTTTTGTGAAAGGATATTCAAAAAAAATAGAGAGAATATAATATAACAATTTATAATAATTTTTTGACTTTTTAACTAAATTATATAATTTACAAACGAGACTTCAATCTGATTTTTTATTTATGAATTTTTGTATCTCTCCTTACTTTTGAATAAATGAAATCTCGAATCTAATCTTGTTTCAAAAAAATGACATATAAGATCATTTATAGCGGTTCACCAAACTTGACATTAAATTTGAATTTTGGTCAAAAAGTCACTGTTTGGTGCTTCAACGGTTGCATCAAATCGGTATCAAATTGAGAATTCACCAAAAAATTCATCAAAGTGAGAATAAGCTGCAGATTTTACCAAATTACTGTTCTTGACCTTTGGAAGAATTGAACCGATCAACCAGCCGGTTGACCAACTAAAAGGTTCAAACAGTTCAAATGGGTTGGTTCAAACAATTCAAAAAAATATATATATTTTTGCCTTACCGGTCAACCAGCCGGTCGACTAACCGGTCGACCACTAAAAGGTTCAAACAGTTCAAATAGGTAGGTTCAAACAGTTCAAAAAAAATTGCCTTACCGATCAACCAATCGGTTGTCCCTGGAGCAGGTTTGATAAAAATCAATCATTAAAACATTCTGTATCAAATTGAAAAAATGATCATTTTTTTACTCAAATTTAATAAAAAATTAAATGAAGCATGGGAGATACTCTAACCATGTGGGCCAAGTCAACAATAGCAAAGAAGTTGCTTTGACGTCATGTGTTTTATTAGTAACTTCAGCCGAAAAGTTTGACTTTGGTTTCTACGGTAATGCGTCATGAATTTTGATGTTATTAAATTATTATAAGGCCTTGTTTGGATCCCTTTTTACTACCCTTTTAACTTTTTATGTGTTTTATTTAATATATTTTAATTTTTTTTTTCTCTGGGTTTAAGTGTTTATTTTTTTATAGCGAAAATCATAACTAATTTAAAAAGAAAAAAATTGTAATAAAAAATATCCAAATATGCCCTAAATTAAAAATGGAGCATTTCATCTTCTAAAAGAATGGTCAAGGACTTTTGGAATTGACTTTTTTTTTCGTTTTTAATAATTTTTTTTAATTAAAAAAAATTTACATTTTTAATAACTACTCGATCAGACGGATCAAAAAATTAAAAAAATACACACACAAAAAAAAAGAAAAGACAACAAGTTTAAAATTACTAAAAATATATATATTTTTTTAAAATAACTTTTTAAACTGAGAATATCAAAGCGACACCAAATGACAAAGATCATCCCCTCTCAGGTTTTTAAAATATTTTTCAGGTATATATTGTCTGGCATAAATAAATTCCAATAATCTACGGAGGGAAAACTAAATGTAAAGTTAAATCTTTACTTGAGTATCAGTCACTTTCAATAAAATTAATTTAGTTAAATTATCCCCCACATTGTTTGAAGTTTAGAAAAAAATACAATAAATTTTAAGATAAATTATCAGTAAGTCATAGTTGAATTTAATTCCCATCAAATCCTATTGAAAATAAGTCTTATTAAAATCGTCGCTAAAAATAATTTTTTATAACGATTTTTTTGTATATGTCACTAAAAATTGACAATTAATGACTTTTTGTCATGATTTTTATAAATTATCTCTAAAACTTATAATTTAGTGACATTTTTCTGTGACGAATTTTTCAGACTGTCGCTGAAAATTGAAAATTTGTGACTTTTTTGTGATATTTTTTTTAAGCTGTCGTTAAACATATAATTAGTAACATTTTTTGTGATAATTTTTAAACTGTGCTGAAAATTAACAATTTGCGACTTTTTTTAATAGTATTTGATAAAAAAAAAACTATTAATTTTCACAGGACTTATTAAACAATAGATCCACCTAGTAGGACTTACAAGTAAGTTCTCCTAAATTTTATAATTAAACTCTATTAAAGTTTTAATTCATAACTTTTAGACTCATTTTCATTACAAATTTGTTAGTCATATATAGATTAAAAAATAGATGTTGCCATCTCATTCATTCTAAAAGATATATTTTAGTTTGTTTATATTTGTATCTTCATACAATCTATATTAGTTTTGGTCATTTTAATCTCACTATAAAGGAGGTCGGTATAATTAAGTTAAAATTATAAAATTTATACCTTTATTTCAAATTTTAAAAGATGTAAATGTAATCTACCAATTAAATTCGAATGTCTCAGATTTTCACCTTATTAAAAGGGTACATTTTTCAAGGGAACGGATTTTCTCTCACTACAACATATAAGACTTTTGGCAACCAATTATTTTGGTCGCTAAAACTATTATTTTGGTCTCTAAATAGTTTTTGTGACAAAATTAGTTTCGTTACTAAAAAAGTCACTAAAAGTGCGTCTAGAAAATTCTTTAGTGACAAATTTTTGAATGTCGCTAAAAATGACAATTAGCGACCAATTTTATATTGTAACAAAATGTTTGATCTTACAAGACTAAATATTTGATCGCTAATACTTCATCATAAAATGTCCCAATTTGGTCGCGAAAAACAAAATAATGACATTTTTAATGACGATAATATTTGGTCGCTAAAAGACATAACTTTCTCTACAACACATTTTCGTCGCTAAAAATCAAAGTTGAGAATTTTGTAATCATTTAATCTCATAACTAAAAATGCACAAAATTAAATGTCATCCAATCATATTAAAAAAAATTGATATCCACACATCAAAGGCACTCTATTCACAAACCATAATGAGTATATAGAAAGTAAAATTTTACAAAAATTAAAACTAAAAGTTTCCAAATTCAAATCAAAGTAGTAACAGTTCAAATAAAGAATAGCAACAGTTTCTTCAAAAAGAATCTCTAAAAAAACATTTTCTCAACATCAACATCAAGCTTTATATCAGACAACCTTGGCACAGGAGGCTTCAAGCTGTACTTAGATGTGACACGCTTTGGACATCCCTGCAACCCAAAATTCAAAAAGAAGAATCAAATAATAAGAATCAACTAAAAATAATCTCATTAAATAATCAACAGTCATTCATAATCAAATAAGTTACAAATAATGTTAAAGCACATTATCTCAAAACAAGCTATCTCTAATTTATGGGATCAATTGTTTTGTGACATAATAAATTAACAATCATACATGGCCCTCCACCAAGGGAGATTTGTATATATGTCTGTCGCTCTCTCGTTTACAAAGGGGAGAGACAATAAATATTGGAGGGTGGCGAGGGTGATCCTTTGAAACCTATAGAATGAGGAGATCCAAATGATCCAAATCTTGCAGGGCCATTATGAGCCCTGCTGCTTCTACTGTAGTATTGATTCTGATGCTGAACAACAACAACAAGAGTCTCCATAGGAAATTTATTAGCAACGAGTTCAACTACGATTACTCGATCCAGTTAAGCCAATTCTAAAACATTAACATTCAAGATCTATACTAGACTCTAAAAATACCTCTGGATCTTCTCTATAACCACCAAAAACTGAGCAGATTTGCATTGATTTCAGTAAATCCAAACCATACGTCGAGCATATATGTAGATCGACAAGAACCAGCAAAACAAGTCGTCATTGATCTCTTCAAAGCAGCAGTCGTCGATTTAACGATCAGATCTATACAAAAACAAAACAGATCAGCACATAACCAATCTTGATATATCAAACTAATAGATGGATCAGAAAACTGACCTGTAACATACCAAACAGGTAGTCACCACGTGCGACCCCTGGTTTAAGCTCCCAATCATGGCCAGGGGGTCTATCACGCAGGGTTTCAATTAAAGTCACAAAGAAGTTGTGCACGCCCTCTCTCAGTTGTTGGATGTAGCTATAGAAAAGAAATGGAAGGTTTAAATATGGTCTACATCTACAGATATATGATATAACGTACTACATGAGAACAAAAGCTCATGCATGCTGATCCGTGCTCCCTTTATTTCCATAAACAGTAAGTCCATGATTCACTTATTGAGGTCAAGAAAAAAGAAAAAGAGAAAAAAAAAATGGCTAGCATAAGTGATCAAAATAAACATCGACACATAGTAAAAGCAAGGTTTTGGGCAACCAACACATCCTTGCCTAGGCTAAACATGGTATTTTAAATATCATGCTCGATTAACTGTTGAAGCTTTAATAGCTAGTTGATAACTTCAAATTCCAAAGAAAACAACCTAAATTTTATTCTAGCATGATTACCAGAGGGGCTATTGAGCATTGGCATAAATTAAAGGCGCATATAACAGGAGATGTATCTTGTCTATTGTGGACAGGGATAGTCATGTCTTAAATCATTATATGTAGGTAATAGAACTAGGTTAATGGATAAAGGTGCACCATCCATCTACATCAAAATGTCCACACATTGGAAATGCAGGATCAAATGCCATTTTAACAATTAGGAAATCAAAATCCAATATTTCCAATTCCTTATTGATGGATAAGAAACAAGATTTCTAATAGATACATCATCAAATTTTGCTTTCTAGTGAGGGCAGAATTGAAGAAAATTGCTATTTAAATGAAAATTTTGGACAAAGCTAAGAAAAAGACATGAAGTACAAAGTCGCTGGAAAATTTGTTATTACAATTTACATGCCATCTGCCTAACTAGATGCAACAATGCTAACATGTTATAAGAGTCCTTCCTAAAAACCAAAATATTTAAAAATTGCCTCCAAAGAAAGATAAAAGGAATATTTCCTCAAAGAAAATTCCTACTCCATTCAGTTGTTTCCTCCTAAACCACTGCCAAGTTGACACTCTATAGCGTGACAAAAATATATGGCCATCTAAAATACGTAGCCTTAGTCTCACATCACACCTTTTTTGTGGTTGCCAGAGGTGTCACGAATTCAAAATGCTTCAATGGTAAACAATACTAATGCCAATTAAATAGATAATGATATTTTAGGACATCAAATTTGTTCCGTGTTCAAACAAGAAGAGTTGGCAGAGATGGTTGGACATACCCGATTACCATCTAGGTCAAACTCCTTCCCAAGTGATTCCATGACCAACTGTTGTAAACACCTACTAAATAATACTAGGCTATCCTTGTAAGGAAGAACAACCATATCCTATGGAAAAACAAAGAAACCAAAGCATAAATATTTATGAGTGAAACTGAAACATAACATAGGTAAAAATGAGGCTGAGAAAAAGACAGAGTGAAGCAAAACCTTGGATCCTACTCCACCAGAGGCCCAATACTAGCTTAAAGCCAACAATGCTGCAGGGTTATCCCTCACTAAAAATAAATAAATAAATAAATATAAATAAAAAAGGAAACTTTAATATTCTGTTATCAAAACTTCTTTTCCTACTTACAAGCATAAGCAGTGAAATAAATAATCATTTCACATTCAATTATGCAATTTCACATCAAGTGTATTGTGTGTGTGTGTGTGTGTGTGTGTCCACATGAGAAGTAAGAATTCAAAATGTATCCCCCTACCCTATTTTAGTGATCTTGGTAAGCTAGACAATAAATCAATTCAAGAGATTGTCCTCTAATTGTAGCACTTGTGTCTTCTTCTTTTTTACTTCTTCTTTTTTTTAAAAAAAAAAGAAAGAAAGAAAGAACTGTAGTAGTAGGCAGTCTTACAAAATCAAACATGCAACATCTATTTGTCTCTCTCACTTTTTTCCCCCATCTTTGATGAAAAGAAAGGCACACACACCCATGACCCAACTGGGTTTTGAACCTTCCACTTCTCCCCTATTGGATTGGCAAGAGATAAAAAATATGTGGTAAAAATAATTAAATAAAATCAAACACAACATTCTAGTAAAAAAGTAAATATTTACATAAAAAAATTCAGCATATTCTTTACAAAATAAAATAGTAACACCTCAAACACCTCTTGAAATATAAACCATGTGTATAGTTTGTGTCATTGGCATTACAAACACGAACCAATAGATCACTCAACACCAATAATGTATTATAACAGATTATTAACATATTATATTTCCTAGAGCTGAATAAAAAACATCTAGCAAATGATGAGTTGGAGAGCAGAGCATTACAAAGAACTGATTGGCCATGATAGAAGTGTCACATGTACCAGGAATAATTTGCCAATGCGTGAACTCTCCTCTAAAACCTCTTGATATGCTGCCACTCTTGTAACATCAAAATGATTTGACCCCCATCAAATGCATGAAAATATTATAGAAACTACCGGGGTGGCACTCACTATCTAAGTGCAAGTGCCACAAAGAACCACTAAATTAGCCACTTTTTGAACAGTCATGCATAGAGAGAGAGAGGTGTACTAAGTAGCCTCTAAATTATAAAGGAGAGAGAGAGAGAGAGAGAGAGAGAGAGAGAGAGAGAGGTGTACTAAGTAGCCTCTTAATTAGGATGGGGAATTTTTAAAAATAACTGGGAGTTTTAGGCAGCTGTGGGGAGTTCTTTAAAATAATGTGTTTACTTAAACATTTACCCTTAACTGAATATAGAAGTAAAAGGATTTTAATAATGTATAATTTAATTTTCTGTGGATAGTTTAGGGAAATGAAAAATATACACAAAATTAGTGTTCTACTTTTATATATTAGCAAAGATGACATGCTTGACAACTGAACCAGTGCTTACTCCATTCCTCCAAGTGGGACACCTTGGGATGCTGATGGCTTACAACTCTCTCGATTGAAAGGATTAATTGGTTCTGTCTGCACATATTAAGCGAGTAGCAATTAAATCTAAAGAAAAGGTCCAACAAAAAACTGCATCAAAGTCCAATTATTTATTTATTTATTTATTGGCACTGGAGTGCCCGGAATCAAAGTCCAATTAATTTTCAACATACGAAACTAGTTGTTAGGGTCATTATTGAATACTAAAAAGTAGCTATAGGGAAAAATTAAAATGAGTTGAAGAAGAATAAAGTTAAGAGAGTTACCCTTCCATGGGAAGCCTCTTCCTGTACATAGGACCACACACGTATACCAAGTCGAACCTAAGTTCAAAATTCAAGACATGAATCACGAAATGAGAACTGGTGAATGATAATGCATAACTTATGATACGCAGGACCTATACGTCTTTTCTGCTTTGACATTTCCATAAAATCATCTTCCATTTTGTTGCTAAACAGTTTTGACAATATTTATGCTAGGACAGTTTTGCAGTAGAGACTAGAAGAGTAAGTAAATAAAATAAATGCCATATATACTATTCATTATATACATGTCTAATATTCTTCCAACTAAGAACCAATCAGTATTGCATAATAATAGGGTGAATTAGAAATACACCCCCTGGAATGTGCACCGCATCCCCAATTCTTCATCTCTAACACGCATTAGATTGGACATACATATATACACGCACACACACAAGTTCAATCTATGTAAAGAATTCTTCAATTCCAACACGCATTAAGATAAGAATCAAGTTCAATCTACGTAAAACACAGCTTGAAACACGCATTAGATTGCTTTGTTTTTTTGTTTGCTTTGTGAATGCAAAACACAGATTGAAACACACACAAGTTCAATCTATGTAACGCATTAGTTTGCTTTGTGGATGCAAAACACAGATTGAAACACATATGAAAAGAATTGGAGCTCTTACAGGTCGATTACGAAGATCAATTATGGAGAGAGAGAGAGAGAGGCACCAAAATTTGAAGAAGATTGAGCTCCCAATCTGCCTTGGAGATCCTGACTTTAGGGCTGAAGATTGAGCAAACCCGTTGAAAGAGAGAATGAGCAAGTTAGGGCTGAAGTGAAGTGAGGTCCCGACTTTTCAATTGTTAAAATGATAAAAATAATTGGTCTCAAATTGTTTTTAATTGATAATGACGAAAATATGTCCCTAAATATTAATAATATATTAGCAACCAAATTTATTGGTCTATAAAAATTATGTAAATATTTGGTGAGAATATTAATAGTCATTTTTATAATCTTATAAATAAATTATCATATGTTTAAATTTGTCCCTAAAAATTTATTTTTAGCAATTAAATTTAATTAGTCCTTAAATATTAGTCTCTAAAAGACTAATTTCTTGTAGTGTCTGGTTTACTTGTAGATGGAGGGGTGTGACACGCGTCTTATTTGGATGAGCTAAATTATTGTAAAATTTATGAGTAAATTATTTATAAAGTAAATTATATTGATCTCATATTTATAATTATATAATTTTATTATATATATTTTTTTAAATTATTTTTATGCAACAATTTTTTATTATTTTTTTATAAAGAGAATAGAATCATGTAAGTTTTAATATCGATTCAAGCATCATTTGAGAATAAGTTATTTTAATAATTTTTAATTTTTTATGAAAATATATGCAAAAAAATAGAGAGAGTGTAATGTAACAATTTATAATAATTTTTTAATTTTTTAACTAAAATATATAGTTCACAAACGAGATCTCAATCTGATTTTTTTATTTATGTATTTTTGTAGAGTACTACTATTAGCACCCCATAAATTATTTTGGACCCCTCAACTTTTAACTTTTTTTATTACAATAATAACCTCAAATAAAATTACTACAAAGGATATCATTAATTTTGAAACACCCCATCTCACAATTAAACCTACACACTCACTACATCATGAATTAAGATTTATGAGAGCACCCACCTCCATCACCACCCATCCATCTTTTTCAAATCCCATCTTCAAAGCTTACCCACCCTTAAAACTTTAAAATCCCTTTGGCGGTAATATTCCGACAGTAACGGTGGTAACCATTTGACTACCTATATTTTTCTGACTATGACAATGAGTGGAAATGTTTCTAGCAACCACAACTCCATAAGACGAGAGGAATACAACAATAAAAGTTTAGAGGAGGTTCATACCTTTGATCTTGTTTTTAGCTTAGAGAATATTGGCTTTATAAGGGTAAGTTTTCATGGAAAAAAAAATGGCAAAAATAATAAAATATGTTCGTCATTTTTTCGAGACTGAACTCCCGAATATATGATCGAAATTCGGGAACACGTGCCCGAACATTGTTTATTTATTCTGGAATTAGTAATCGAACATTGATTTTGAACTTTTTGTGATCTGGGATGAATCCAGAATGAAGAAAACTCAAATAATTGAACCGTTTTAAGAACTGGGAATCGAATATTTTAACTTTTGAGAAGTGATTGTATGATAAGTTAAGATAAGTAAGGTTGGTGACAACCATAGACAAGTTTTGTATTGGAACATCCATCTGAAAGATTATTGTGGCTCAAATTAAAAGCTTGGATCTGAGAACAATGAAAAATATCAGATGGGAAGTTGGTTAAATCGGCAGAGATAGTATTCTTCTTTTTATTCTTCATGGGTTTTGAAAATGATGAGGCTTTTCTTCTTCTTAGTGGGTTTTGTTCGGATTTTTTGAAAGGGAAGTTTTTTTGGGATGTGTGGATGTGCATTCAATGGATTGAATATTCAAGGATAATTTTAATATTATTTAAGGTGAGAAAAGAAATTTTAAGAATTTTAAAATTTATAAATAAAGATCTAAAAAAATAAAAAATCCAAAATAATTTATAAGGTGCTTAATAGCACCACTCAGTTTTGTATCTTTTCTTACTTTTGAATAAATGAAATCTCGCATCTAACCTTGCTTCAAAAAAATGACATATAACCAAGTGGGCCAAGTCAACTTTGACGACTTTGACTTTGGTTTTTACGATAAGACCATTTCCAATCGTTCATTTTTTTTTTTTTACTAAATCTGAGTAAAAAATAAGTTATTTTCTCAATTTGATATGGTTTCCTCCAATGGTGAGCATCAAACCTGTCGAACAAAATATATGCAGAATTGAGGGAAAGGTCGACCGGTGGGTCGACTGGTAAGACTAATTTTTTTTTTAACCTGTTTGAACCTTTTAACTTGTTTGAACCTACCTATTTGAAAGGGAACCGGTCGACCGATTAATCAACTGACCGGACAACCGGCTGGTTGACCGGTTGGTCTCCCCCAACGATAACGCACAGTAAAGTAGTGAAATTTGGAGCCTGTTCTCACTTTAATGAATTTTTTGTTTCATTCTCATTTTGATACTAATTTGCTGAAACCATTGGAGCTCCAAAAAGTGACTTTTTTTACCAAATTTCAAATCTGATATAAGGTTTGATGAACCGTTAGAGATGGCCTAATGCGTCATGAATTTTGATGTTATTAATTTATTATAAGGCCTTGTTTGGATCCCTTTTTACTACCCTTTTAATTTTTTATGTGTTTTATTATTTAATATATTTTTTAAAACTTTTTTTTTTCTCTGGGTTTAAGTGTTTATTTTTTATAGCGAAAATCATAACTTATTTAAAAGCAAAAAAATTGTAATAAAAAAATATCCAAATAAGCCCTAAAGGAAAAATGGAGCATTTCATCTTCCAAAAAAATGGTCAAGGACTTTTGGAATTGACTCTTTTTTTCGTTTTTAATAAATTTTTTTTAATTAAAAACAATTTATATTTTAGTAACTACTCCATCAGACGGATCAAAAATCAAAATAAAAAAAAAAAAAGAAGAAAAAACAAGTTTTTACTAAAAATATATTTTTTTTAAATAACTTTTTAAACTGAATATCAAGCTACACCAAATGATAGTGTATATCATTCGAGAATTTGTAGGAAGTGTTTGCGCATTGACACATGCATATATAAGTTTGAATTTAACCAGCACAATTAATCTTCTTTAACGTTATATTTAGATGGGAGTTTTTTTGATAAATCTATTTTTTAAGAGTTTTATTCAATCCAACTCATATTCTTTTTTACTATTCCATTAGGTCCAATTTGAGATAAGAAGACCAAAATACCCTTTTCATCTACTTATGTTCCATTTAGTTCACATTATTTTCTTATGTTTCAATAAGTCCTATGGGTGACATAATTACCAAAATACCCTTAATGTGAATGTTCACACCGTCAATATAAATGTTTATATCGTCAATGTGTAGGGGCCCGGCTCATGTCGATCCTCGTGGGTGCCCGGAAAAATTCGAGTCGGGCCGGGCCGGCCCACAAGCCAAAAAAATAGGCCCGACCCGACCCGCCCGTTGTGAAATATGAATATTCACATTGAAAGTTAACATTCACATTAATAGGAGTGTAAAATTGGCCTGCTGCTCTCTGTGGCGGCCCGAAACAGCCTGGTCGCCCGGGGCTGGCCCCGGGCCGGACCCGTTACAAATGAATATCACATTGACCATATTAACATTAACATTGACAAGAGCTGTAAAAATTGGCCCATGACCCGTGATAGGCAGCCCGAACCCGGTCCCGGACCGGGTCAGGGCTGGCCCGCCCGGGCCTGATTGACAATGTGAGATATTCACATTGACAAGTTAACATTCAGCCATTGATAGATTTGTAAAATTAGCCCGCGCCTGTGCTGCCCGAAACCCGCCTCCGGCTCTCCGTGGGCTGCCCTGGGCGGACCCGGCCCGACCGCTTTGATTAATGCAAATATTCACATTGACATATTAACTTCACATTGAAAAGTATAAAATGTAGCCCGCCCCCGTGGCGCTTTCGAAACAGCCGCACGGCCCGTAAGGGCCCGCGAGGCCCGACCCGCCTGTTGACCAGTGAATATTCCACATAACATATAACATTCACATTGATAAGAGGGTGTAAAAATTGACTCGTGTCCCGTATGGCGCGGCCCGGGCGGAGCTCAGTCCGGCCCCCAGCGGCTTGATAATCTTTCCGTGTTGTAGTTTTGATAGATGGTGTGAATATTCAACATTGACATATTAACATTCACATTGATAGGGAGTGTTAAAACTGGCCCGTCGTAAAGCCCGCCCGCTGCCCTAGGGTGGGCCTCGGCCCGGGGCTCGGTGACAATAGCTGAATTATTGCACATTGACATATTAACATACTTGATCAAGAGTTGTAAAATAGCCCTGTGACCAACTTCTGTGCGTGGCAGCCTTGAAGCGCGGCCCCGGGCCGACGCGGGGGGCCCAGCCGGTGACAACGTGAATATTCACATTGAGCATGTTAACATCCACATTGTTGATAGGTGTAAACAATTTAGCCCGTTCCCAGTGCTGCCCGGAAACACGCCCACAGCCCTTGGCGGCCCAGGCGGTCCGGCCCGGGCCTGTTGACATTGAATATTCACATTGACATGTTTAACATTCAGCATTGATAAGATGTGTAAAATTGACTCGCGTTCCTAGGACGGCCCGGGGGCCCGGTTGGTTGGGCCTACCCCGAGTCCGGCTGGCCGAGAGCTTCAGGCAGCGGACGAAGTTTTACACTTCCTATCCAATGCTTAATTGTTAACATGTCAATGGTGAATATTCACATTGTCACGTCGGGCCAAGCCCGCCTCGGGCCTGCGATCGAAAAGGCTTCGGGCCTCCCACGGGCTGCGGGCCAATTTTATACTCCTTCAATGTGAACTTGTTGTAACATGTCAATGTGAATGATTCACATTGCCACGGTCGGGCTTCGCCCTGGGCGCCCGAAGTGTCCGGCGTCTTTGGGCTGCCTACGGGTCACGGGCCAAATTTACACTTCTTATCACCTTTTTGTGTTTTTCGATGGTTAACCAGTCAATGTGAATATTTCACATGTCACAGCCGGCGCCGGGCCCGCCTCGGCGCCGTGGACGGGTTTCTGGCAAGCCACGGGGCGCGAACGCTAATTTACACTCTCTCAATGTGCAGTTAACGATGGTTCAATTTGAATATTCAACATTTCCACGTGGTCGGGCCAAGCCCGCCCTCGGGATGCAGCTGGGGCTTCAGGAGCCGCCCACGGGCTGCGGGCCAG